GGGGGCGGGGGGGCGGGGGGAGGTCGGAGCTCCCCCCCGAGCCCTCCCCCGGCACCGTGGCGGGTTCTGGATTCTGGTTGCGGGGGGGTGCGGGGGGTGTACGAACGTGTCTTACCAGGATACAAACCCTTATACCAACCATACACTGAGGTGTGGAGGGGGGAGCATTAGGATCAGCTGCAAGCCAGCAGTGGCAAAAGCCATCACAAAGGTGGCTGCAGTGACAATAAAACACAGTTAATGCGAGCCCGGCCACGGCCCGCTCTCCGTCCGTCCGTCCGTCCGTCCGTCCGTCCTTCCCCCCCCACCGCACGCGGGAACGGCATGGGACACACCCCGGAACCGAAAAGCCCCGGAACCTGACACACCCGGAATTGGGATAGCACCGGAACCAGAACAGGGACGGGACAGGCCCGGAACCTGACAGCCCCGGAACCGGACAGTACTGGAACCGGGATCCCCCCGGAACCGGGATGGGACAGCTCCGGAACCGGAAGTGGGATGGAACAGTCCCGGAACCGGACAGTCCTGGAACTGGGACAGCCCCGGAACCGGACAGCTCTGGAACTGGGACACCCCCGGAACTGGAACCGGAACACCGCCGGAACTGGGACACACCAGAACCGGAAATAGGACGGGACACCCCCGGAATGGGGACAGGATACCCCCGGAACCGGGATGGGACATCCCCAGAACCGGGATACCCCCGGAACTGGGACACCTCCGGAACCGGAAGTGGGATGAGACACCCGCAGAACCGGAACCAGCATGGGACACCCCCGAAACCGGAACCGAGACACCCCCGGAACAGGGACCGGACACCCCCGGATCGCCCGCCCCGAGGGGGTGCAGGGATACAGAGAGACAGAGACAGAAAGAGAGAGAGCGGCGCCGCAGGATGGGCCAACGGTTGGCCAACCTCAATGGAAGACTGGCCAATGGAAGGTTGACCAATGGTTGGCCAACCTCAATGGAAGACTGGCCAACGGCACTGACCAATGGCTGGCCAACCTCAATGGAAGGTTGACCAATGGCTGGCCAACCTCAATGGAAGATTAGCCAATGGAAGGCTGACCAATGGTTGG